TCAGTCAGTCAGTCAGTCAGTCAGTCAGTCAGTCAGTCAGTCAGTCAGTCAGTTAGTCAAACTCATATTTCAATTTTCTATCCCTAGGTATGGTGGCAGCGCTTGATGAATCAGTACGTCAACTTGTCACGACCCTCAAAAGAAAAGGACTTTATCAGAACTCTGTAATCATTTTCACTACTGATAATGGTGCAGCCGCTGGTGGGCTAGACATGAGTGCGGGCTCAAACTATCCTCTACGTGGTGTCAAGAATTCTTTATGGGAGGGAGGGGTACGTGGGGTTGCTTTTGTTCACAGTCCAATGATCAGACGAAAAGGTGAGTGTGATTTTCGCTACCGATCTACGTATTTTTAATAGTAGAATAACACATCCATGGTGTATGTCCGCAGGGCGAGTGTATGACGGGCTCGTACATGCGACTGATTGGCTGCCTACCATTTTCGCCCTCTCGGGGGGTGTACCCCAGACTCTTGGCCCCATTGATGGATACAACGTTTGGGAAGCAATAGCTCTCGGCTCGAGGAGTCCGAGGTACGAAGTACTTCATGGGATTGATCCGTTACTAGGCAACCGAGCTTCATTAAGAGTGGGTGATTACAAGATCATCCTAAATCAAACATTGAAGTTCTACTCGGACTGGTACAAGCGCCCTGAGGCACCACACGAACTGGACTATGCTCGAAAACCAAGACTCCTGGCCAATGCTTCAATAGACTGCACCAATAAGATGCCTAATCCGTTACTCAATACGCATGCGCCGATATGTAACCCTGAGAAGAGGCCGTGTCTGTTTAACATCAAGTGGGATCCTTGTGAGTATCACAATCTTGCAGAGTTTATGCCCAACACACTCAAAGTCATGTTAGACAGGCTTAAATTCTACTCCAAGGGCATCAAGTCTGTTATATATCCGAAGTTAGATAACAGTGCCAATCCTGATAATACTGGCGGGGTGTGGATACCATGGAGGGATAGTCCTTTCATGGATCCGACCGTTAATGATTTTATCTATCCATTTAGTTATGAAGATCAGGCTACTAACTCCACCACAGGTAGTTTACTTAATCAGAATCTACGTAAGTTTATGCGAGATCAGGCTATAGGACATACTAATGAGACAGATTACAAAACAGATGATAGTGAACTCAAGCAACCTTTAGTTATCGTTAGGCTAACACCGGAAGTAGCAACCCCTGCTGCACCAACAGCCGCCCCACAGATAACACAGCAGACTACACCCTACGTACCACCGACACAAGCACCTGTCACGCAATCAACAACACCTTATGTCCCTCCGACCCAGAGCACCACACCTTATGTAGCCCCGCCCCCTGTCACTCAATCGACCGCACCCTATGTTGCACCCGTCACGGAGTCTACTACCCCGTATGTGCCTTCACCTCCTCCTTATGTAGCTCCTGTCAGTGAGACTACCACACCCTATGTACCTCCTACAGTATCCACCACGCCTTATGTACCTCCGCCTACTCAAGCACCAGTCACACAATCAACAACTCCATACGTCCCACCAGTCACACAATCAACAACTGCCTACGTCCCACCAGTCACACAACCACCCGTTACATACCCACCTATACAAGAAACTACACCTTATGCTGCGCCTGTTAACCAAAATGCCTATGATACAACATCACCGCCGCCAGCACCAACACAAGCATACACTATTCCAACGACACCTGCACCCACACAAGGACCGATACTCAATAACACTTTAGAGGTCCCTGAGAACTTCACGATCAAAGTCAGCTTTGGGGAGCCCCAACAACCAGTTAACGAGAACAAAGACCTGTTACAACCGGTTGTAGCTCAACCTGCTAATCAGGAAAAACCGGTTGCCTCTCAGCCAAGCCTTTGGGATCATATAAATTCGTTCAACATAGAAAATTCCACAAACCAGATCTCAACGGGGAATGTCCAAGAGGTCTCTCGCTTGAGCCCGCCAAAACGACCATTTATGTTTATTCATAAAGTAAAACCGTACAAGACCTTCAAACACGTTAAACCAGCTCCTGGAGTACCGGAAGTACTTGATATCATAGACGAGACCGGAAATAATAAATTATCTGATGCCGGAAGTGGTCAGGCGAGTATTCCTCAGATATTTGACATCATTGATGAGATGCATGGTAAGCCAGCCACTGACCGCAAGACTAGTCATTTCGCAATAAAACACAAAGGGCCAACAGCAACTAGCAAACCGCTGTCCATTAGTGACGTGGGCTCAGGCATGGGTGTAGGACTGAACGGGCTTCCCGAGGGAATCTCTGTGTTTGGAGCGATGGGTGACAAGAAGTTAACTCATGAGAATAAGGACAGACAGAATGTAGTTGGAATACCACAGCCTGAAGATGACGTGCACAAGCCGCACACGTTCTTTGGTAACATTACTATCGGAGGTCGTGTTTATTATGTCGTTGGTAGCGAGAGCGACGAACTGGCGAGAATTAAAACCAAAATTGAGGGTGATAAAATTATGGTCCATTTACCCAAACCACAGGATACCCAAACATCTAATACAGGCTACAATGAAATGAGGGATAGAATCGATCTTAGCAGCGATGATAATAATGCTAATAACAAGCCTATTGCCAACTCCCTCGCGGCTCATAATGTGACGACATACCCCTTCAATGGTCAAAACGGTACCAAATGCGAGAAGGTCGTTCAGCTCGATACTTCCGACAATGCAGTCGTCGTTTCTTCAGTGGTGATCGTCGTGATTGCGTCAGCAATGGTCGTTGGTGTAGCAGTTGTTGCTATGGTTGCGGTGGTTGCTAGGCATTGTCAGAATTCTTCTAGGAATTAAGTCAAGGAAGCGGTTAGCTTCAAATTAATAATAAGCTGTTACTATGGCAACCAATAGACCACGATACGAATAACGAGGCTTGGTACATACCACCCTTAAATTATGGTTGCCATAGAAACTAGAAATAATTATATTAAGCCTGCTTCTCTCGACAGCAAAAGCACTCGAATATTTGCTCAAAGATTAATTTAGATATTAGAAATATTTCAGAGAATAATTCTATTTTTAGCACATGGACTTTCAACTTTTTTCGTTTATAGATATAACGTGCATTGACAATATTATGAATGAAGCTTAATTGAGTTAAATTATCGATTAAATTATGCAATAGCGCTTAATACGTAGCTTTTTTTTCTCAATTTTACTTATATATATTTGACTAAAATTACATTTCTACGTCATGGCCACGTAATGATGACGTCATATTGCCTTGAGGAACATACCTAGTTCATGCTTCTTTTGTTACGTCATGAGAAGAAGAATTATGAACTTTTGGGCGTAATGTTTTCTCATTCCAAACCTTTCGCGATGAGTGGCCGATAAACCTTTTCTATCTTTACGGTGAATAACACTCAAGAAAATGACACGTGGTCTGCAAGAGATCGCTTCGCCTTGTCATTTTGAAAGTATGACGTCATCATTAATAAGCCTATTGTTTGCTGGCCATTTTGAAATACAAAAGCCTCGAATTGAAGCAGAGGCCTGGTTACATTTCAAGATGGCGGCCACTTAAACAGAAGAGCTATTCCCATATGGTCATTTAGTAATATAAAAATTCACTATAATATTTTTCCTTTTCGTTTCTGTTTGATCAGGTAAATTATGCAATAAATGTGATTTGTTGGAAGCCGTTAAATGAAATATCAAAATGATTGACAGCTGTCATATGATGTACAAAGATGATGAAAATAAATATTAAACAATCAAGTGTCAAAAGCTAGCAGTTGTCATGGTGGAGTGTGTTCTTTGATGTTTCAAAATATAATCGTCCCTTCCTTCCTTCCTTCTTTTTTCTTTCTTTCAGTGTTATTCATTCATCGTTCAAGCTAAATCTGGTTTAGACAAATGAATTCCCGTTCAAACTGTCTATTTGTTGCATAAGTATTTCTTTCTCCTTGAAGGCTGTCTCAGGGTATCGATAAGATTTCTAGGGCTGTTCGACCCCCAATTTAAGCTCCGTTAGCGACATTGCCACAAAGACAATGTAATCTTTTTATTAGTCAAATAGTGAAAACTGGCTTGCACTTGTTTGATCGAGAGCAGCTAGGATTGCATCTGAAAAGCTCGCGGCAAGAACAGCTACCTCTCGTCTTGAAGTCTTTCGAAAGCTGTTTTAGTTATTCGATCTTGACTAGAAAACCTGAGTAGATGGGAATCTCAAGGTCGCAAATGGCGCCACATGAGCTTGAAGCTTACTGCTGTGTTTGAGCCAATTGACTAAAGGCTTCATAACTCATAAAGCGGTCATTACAAAGACGAAAGCCGACAGGCTTGACTCAAACAATCAGAAGAGGTTACGAGTCCCATACAGTGAATCAACATATGTGCTGTGTTTGTTCGATCTAACAGAGGGTCACCCAGACACAGAGAATAATCCAGTACTTTAGGATCAACGCGCTTAAAATATCTCAAAAGTGTTTTAGAAAAGAATGTGTTAGAAACCGTATATGAGGTACTAGATAGATGATCTTAAATGATTTTTAAACATTTGTTCCTATTAAGAACCCTGGAACCGGAGCTAAGCGACTTGACCTGCCAACAACACAAGATTAGCGCTGTACACGCAAAGCACTACTCACACAAAATATCACCAAACTATTCTAACTTCCTAAAAAAAAACACCGTGTCCCTTAAACATTAACAACCGCAAAAGCCGCTAGTGACATTTTATTAGTTTTTTTTCTACCGACTCGTGGAGCGCTTAGAGTAGCGCATGCGCGCTGAAAGCAAGCTTCCAGGCGCATATCTGTACTGGAGAGTAGTAATATGATTAAAGCAGTATAATACGGTAATCGTATTAAGATGGTTAATTAAATGCAATGCCTATTTAGTATCGGTTAGTGAGGGCACATCACGAATGCTGTGCTGAGCGTAGCGAAGTTTCTAAGACAAGATATAATATCCCTGTAAACAGTTGTGTGACAAGAAGTCCCAACAAGAAGTATAAATAGCGCGCCTGTAAGACCAACTCAATAATTTAATTAGAACAAATAAAAAACAAAAAGGGATCACAACTTAATGTAAGTTAAAACTCCGTGCTAAAGGCGAAAAAGATGTTCTGGCTGATCAAAGTGAAGCGGCCTTTGATTAAGTTTTAAGTGGTTTGGTATGTGGCGGAGTGTACGCTGAAAACAAGAAGAAAGCTGCACAAAAAATGGTGTTTAATCCCGTAAAATTCACTCAAAACACTAGCGTAGCAAACTTTCTGTTAAAACCTGACCAAGTATAGTTTCGTTACTTTGAGTAAATTTGGTCCAGCGAAAAGGCGATGTGTTTTGAATTACGTCTTGAAGGTCTGTTAAAATACATGGACGAGACCATGCTATATCTTAGCTACTAACAGATTCAGTAAAATAGTTATTGAAGCATCAATCTTAAAGGAAAAGATACACGAATTCATTTTTTAAATTTTGGTAACAAAGTTCAAAGTAAGACTTTTAAAAATACGATTAATGATTTTAATTGACTCAACAGGCATTCTGATGCCATTTTCAAGGGTAAATAAAAATTTCGTTACAACTTAATAATATATAGATAGAATGATTGAAAATGGCATGAGAATTTAATAAGTTTTATTGTCTTTCGTGCTATTACGTTCATTTGGTAAAGTTCAAAGTGTTGTAGAATTTATTGATAAAAACGTTTTGGTTCACTCATATGTTCCAAGGTTTCAGAGATAACCACGAATCGTGTTCAATGACCCTCGCGATGTATACCTTGGTCACGTGCGCGTCTATTTTTGGCTTCCATATGACGTCATCACTAGTTGGGAGATTCCAAGACTCTTGACATATTGCTTCAAAATTTTGAGTATCAAAAATTTCTTAACAGGTTTCACGTACTCTAATTGATTCGATTCCAAAATCAGTTTTCTGGCAAAATTTTGGACCGAATGATTTTAAAAGAACCGCTTTTTCATGGTGTATATTGGTTTTTATTGCAAGCCATTCAAATGTATATTTTAGGGTTATTAGTGTGGGTTGGACTGTAATCGATACTTGTTGGAGTCTTGGTGTATTGCGCAACTGCATTTGACGTATTATAATGAACTAACCGAAATGTTTTTGCGATTTATTTATTGAAGATTTGAGACTAATCGATATGTATTCGTACATATATCGTTACGTATTTGCATTGTACATGATATAAAGTAACTAATCAATATGTATCCGTAGCATACATCGTTGAGTATTTGCATTGTACCTTATACGAAGTAACTAATCAATATGTATTCGTACATACATCGTTGCGCATCAGGCATGATATTAAGTATTATCGATACTTACTCGTCTTTTACCAAGTATCCTTCCTCTCAATCGATTCTCGATCGGGTTCTTTGTTTCCTGATGAAACGAATGCGTCAGTCAGTGAGTATGTCGCGCCTATCCTGAGTATAGGGCGTGACTAAATACGTATATAAGAGTGTGTTAATCAAAACCACAAAGAGATAAGAAACACTTAGTAACAATGCCTCGTATCGTGTTGATATCAGACACTCGTTACATCTTGTCAACTGGCAAGGAAGGGGTTAGTCAAAACACTATCTATCAGTCATGCTAAGGTGAAAAAATATCCCTACCCTACCCCCACAAGGATTATAACACAAATATGGTGTTACAAATAAATCCCTACCCTACCCCCCTCATTATAAGCCCCTTTGAATACCAGCCTGGTGGCTGAACGCGCATTACTGGCTAAATAAAGATCACGTTTACATTTACAAGAGTTATGCATCCTAGCAGTGTAAAATATATCCACTCTCCCCTCCCCCCACATTATCATCTAGTTTTCCTACTATCACTATCTCCCTACCCCTCTACCCCTGGGTCAAAGATCTGCTTCTAATGGAGTTGTAATTTATTTCCAAGGAAGCGAAGGCATTCAAAAGGTTTTCCTGTCCCACCTTAACTTATGCTTACTTGTGCTATAAATAAACCACCTCTCACCACCCCCGACGGGATGAAGGGGTGATCTGTAATTATTTTCCTCATCTTGGTCATTTATAGTGTTCTTAACCGCTATCAGCCTGGGAATTTTATCAATTTTTAAAAAGAATATTTCTTGAATTGTAACCTTGAATAGTCGGGAGTTTAAAGACAGATGACGCGAGAGACATCCCCCCCCTCCCCCCTGCGCAGCTCGGAATGTTGCAAATTATGCCCCACCCCTATCCCCTAAGTTTATTTTACCCATTGTCCAGGTGGGACAAGCCAGGGGGTTAGTTCAGCTAAAGTGCATTCATTTGGCTTCCCACTTCCGCTTTTTGCTTTTCCAGATGTTATGACGAGGCCAAGCCCATCCCCTCCCCTCCTCTCCCCTCCCCTCCCCCAAAGTATTTCTGTCGCTATATATGTATAACAAAAGCGGCGAATTAAATAGACGGAAATGAAAATATGAGCATCAAAAGTGACCCAGGGTTTGTTATGGCTATAAAAACATTACTGTCTTATCGACTAGTGATCAAAGACGAACCAAAAACAAGTATATCTCAAGATAAAAGACATGAAGGAGTGAAATATGCACAGATGCTATTGCTATATGCGTACCAAGGAAAACCAATTAACTGCACGGAAACCATTTGAATGCAAGATGTATCGATAACTACAAAACCATTACAGAGCAGCTAATCTGTTGATATATCTAATTGTACTGCCTTTGCAAATAAACGGTTGTCATAATAAGCTCAGTTATTTAACATTCCAATGATGATTTATGATTGATGGATGATTTGTTGTTAGTAAATGGTATTTCATTGACTGATAAACCAATGTCAACTTACAGATAAAATATTTCAACAAAATCCATTCATTTATAAATTGTTCCTTTCTTTTTTCGATATTATCAGCCTTTCCTGTAAATTAGCATTTGTTGGATATTAGATTCATAAAAGCCTTAAATTAGCCGTAAAATCTAAAAGGAACCCAAGAAACGTCTGGTATTCTAAAAGGGAGAAGCCAATTCACGGTCCAATGTATCAATTACAAGAAAGCCATTTCACAACTATCATCGAAGAAGAGTGCGGTTCATTTTGTGGTATTTTAAGGAGCTCTTAAATTCAATTAGGAGTCATTTAATTTGATCACATTAAATGAGAATTGAAGAAGGTCTCAACATAAGTACCTTAGGTGTTAGCGCCGTTCGAAATCAGACTATAAGGTTAAATAGCGATTCAAGTTGCAATCACATTAATCATTGCAATCGTTCTGGAACAGGCCGGCTGATGGACAAGCACTTTACTGGCTTCTGAACAAATTAAATTAAATCACGTGCCTTTTATTAGATTTAAAAGAAAATAGATATTAAAGTGGTGTAATCACACAACGGGTCTCCAGAAGACCTAGTGTGAGGAGGGATGCGAGGAGTCGCGGGACGTTAGTCATTGAGATCTGCATTAGTGTTACCTATGCAAAGCTATAGAGATTTTTCTTTGAGAAGTGCAGAAATCGTGACCAATGCAGTGATCTTGGAGAGCGGAGGAAATAACGAAATTAAAATGGACGTTGATTTTCTGAAGTGGAAGGCAATATCCCCCAGAGACTAATGCGATACATTGTGTGTCTGTTTTGAGTAAATCCAGTAAAGCAGTACCGAGCGTTGATTGGTTGGTTTAACGCGTATTTCTTTGTATTCTGCTTGTTCCACAATGCAATCCATTACAGTAATTGTTTAGGTCCACACATCCCTTTGAAAAATTCTTACACGTGTTCAAAGTTAGACATAGTAGCCCTAGGGGGGAGAGCTGAGGAGGTTGTGGTTGAAGGTGGTGATAAGTAAGTGTCTATTGGCTTGCACATCGTAACGATTTACGAACGTAAACAGTCTGCTGTCCACGATTTATCAGATAAAAAAAGGTCAAAATATTTCTACCCCCAACGGACAAGCAGAGAGAAATTCTCGGCCAGTAAATCATAAAATCATTGAAACACAGAGGTCTCAGACTTGGAGTCTTCAGGCAACCTTACTGATAATATTAAATCTCCCCTTCAACTTGGTGAAGGCCGAGACAGTTATCTCCTGACATAACTAACATCTCATATTGCAGAAAGTCAAACCAAACTATCAGAGAAAAGAATTCATACGGACTGACGCACTTGGAATATTAAACGAGCAGTACTTGAAAGAGGAGGAAAAGTGTAACGAAGAACATGTTGAACGAGCAGTCTTGGAGGATTTTTTATTTGCTCTTGCTATCCCACACAGGTACGTAGTATTGTGTTGAATGAATTACGTTTAAAGATGGTGTTGGGATGTTTTGTTGGAGTTATCTTATTGTATTGTTGACGTATGTTGGTGTTGGGAGATTGGATTCCTTTTGGAGTAATTCTGCAGGATTTTCGATGTTGCGTCTCTGAGCTTGAAGTATTTATTTTCATATGTCGTTATGTGCCGGGCGCAAATCTCAAGGTTCAAAATTCCTGGCTATACGAGATGGTGGAATCGCAAATCCAGGGATCGTGTTTAGAGTTGTATACAGTGAAGACAGAATCCCTTATCAACATCCCTACTCACTTACACATATCACGCATCGCGCGTTCTCTTCTCTCAATACAGTCTTTCAGTGCATCGCAAGGTCTACAGATCTGGACTTGGACCTCGACAAAGGACGAATCTTTGGACGGAATCCTTACATAAAGCTTCTAAATGCGCCGCAGACTGGGAGGACAATCCCTTGCTCTAAACAAGCGGTCATACGACTGGATTTCAGTGGACCTTTCAAAAGAGCACACTTCCAGCTCTATTACGGTCAGGAGCCAAGACTTTGGACGTTCTTACTTTCAAATTCTCCGAACGCGTATGGTTTTGGCGGCAACCACAAGTACACAAGCAACTGTGCCTCTGTGCAGGTTTTCAACAAGCAGCTGAGAATATACAGTAACGTGTTGTCTAATTACAGGACTGAGAGTATTGACGGTCACACACTCATGGAGGTAGAGGACGAAATAGTTGGGAAAAACTCTACTTTGACGATAGATGTTCGTGATGAGTTCGTTAAGTGGGAGACTCGAAGAAAAAGGATAAAGGAAAGTTTTATTGAAGATATCCAGAGACCTAACGAAGACAGAAGCAAACGAAAAAGCTCGTTTCTTTTCACGTTATCAGGTCAAAAAGCTGAGTTTGGGCCGAATGAAAATTTTCTGTACGCTGCGTTCAATCGCGTTCCTTATGGTCGCTTCCACAACGGGTCGGGACTATGCCGTGTGAAGATTTCCTTCAAGAGAAGACAAGGTATGAATATTGTACGATCATTTATTGAATCATAAAGTGCTTAATCGGACTAACACCTAAATAGGTATTTATTTGTATATTAGACATAGGAACTGTTTACTTTTATAAGCCTATTAAGGTTCGCTGCTGGTTCCAACCTTCTCATATTTACCTTCGCTAATTTTTTTTCGGTTCCAAAGTACATCCAAAAATGACTACCACAAAATGGCTAAGATTCTTAAATTCTTTCTTCTAAAATACTTCTCCTAAATATTGAAAAGACAACCAGAGGATTCATTCGGGTAATACGTGTTTGCGGTTTGTCAAGGGTACAATATCTCATTACACGCCAATTCAAATAGGATTGCACGCTTCTTCACACTAAAACATCCCCTCACAGTGTTAATTTGACGAACAACGAGGACTTTGAACTCGGAGGGAGACGAAGGATTTTTTAGTTAAAGAGCTAACGTTGGGTGTGATGGTAAAGACCAGACGTGGTTTAGCCAATGTTCTTATGTTAATTGCAAGGATATTGATATGATATGTGCCCATAAAGCATGTCAAGTTGTGTGCTTCCGTAACGAAATCTGTCGTGCTCGATGCATATCCGATGCGCGCGAAAAGTACCGGGGGAAAAAAAAGAGAGGCAAAACAACTGGGAAATGATACAAAAGAGAACTAAGAAAAGTAGAATGAAATTGTTTGGTAACTATCTGAAAAGATGTCTTGTTGAGCGACGTGTTGAGCGATGTTATTCAACAGTTGACCGTAAAGTATATCATGACGCATACACTATTTCTTTTCTCTCCGCTAGATGCTCATGAAATAGCACACGTTTGTTCGTACCTTGTGCATGGTTTGTGCAGGATACTTTATTTTATTAAGTCTTTGGTAAGCTAGCACCTTGTTTTTGGTCATTATTAAAGTACGGTATAATGATAGTTTTGACGGGAGATTAGCGTAAGATATAGTCTACATATGGTAATTGATGGTAACCATAGTGTATGTTGAATAGGGATATATAGGAATAGGATATAACAGCCACGAAGGGAAAGAATGGTACTTGGAGGCATCAATGATGAATGTTGAACATCAAAAGCTCGAAGAGAAGCAGAGGTGACGAGAGACGTGATGTAGTCCAGCGTGAGGATATTTGCTATCAGTTTATATAGTTTGTTTATGGTTTACTATAGAAACATACCAGTGTTTTCTATAACATTGACCTTGATCTATAAACTATAAAGGAAGAAAGAAAGAAAGAAAGAAAGAAAGAAAGAAAGAAAGAAAGAAAGAAAGAAAGAAAG